CCATACCTTTTTAACCATGATGAGATCATCAATATAGACATATACAAGTAAAGTTTCTTATCTGCTTCTACACAAGTGAAACCAATTGTTAGAAAGAATTTATTTAATACTATATTATTTAATTCTATAAATAAACCATTAAAGTTTGTAAGCATTCTGTGCACTTCGAGCTAAGAAGGTTGATTCATATACATTGATTGTTCCAATTTAACGTTTATTCTTAACATCCATCTGTTTAACCTTAAGATCAAAATAATTAACCATTGAAAGCATTAATTATATTAAAACCATTTTAACCATTGGTGAAAAGATCTCACTATAATTGATCATGGCTTGCTATATAACCTTTTGCTACTAACCTTGCCTTATATATAGCAGCAAAATTGATATTAGTGATGCTCAAGTACATAACTTTATAGGTCTTTTGGACATCATGTAACCTTGCCTTATACCTATTAATCTCATTTGACTCTTGATACTTGAGTTTTTGTCCTCAAGAATTGTTTTTGACTTGTGCATTATACTTTGCTTCCATTGCTACTTTCTAGTGAAAACATTATGGGCCCAAAAGTGCTTCCTCTAGCATTGTTAGTTTATGGATTATTTATGCAACTAATTCCTTAAAATGTTTTTCATTGGTTTTCATAAGTGAGAAGATCATTTAGGAAAGTTCTTATTACTGATATACTTCCAAATATGCCTTATTCCAAGTCATCCTCTACTATTTTTGCACCATCAACATTCTCCACCTTATAATCATTAAAGGAATTACCTTTTAGGGAGTTCTTATATTGATTCAAATCTAAAATGAGCTTTTTTAGGATTTTGTTGCAATGGTGATGGAACCTCGAGTGATGGTTTGATGGGAAGTGTAGGTGTTGGTTCCAAGATCAATGTCCTTTGAAGGAGTCTCCTCAATTCTGTCATTATCACATAGAATTGGATTTAAAAAATGCCTTATATATTTCTCATGACTAATTGAGGATATAGAATATGTTACATTTTGCATTCTCATTGGAGCCATCATACCCCTTATTGAATTTATTGTGTCTCTCTTCAACTGAAATATATGTAAAACTTACACAGCCAAACATGTGTAATACACAAGAGAAGGTTTGGTACTTGTTTAGATTTTTTATGCTGTTTTTTCCAGTATAGCCTTGTTGGAAAAACATTTTAAATGTGAATGCTAAATTTATAACAAAAGCCCATAACTAAAGCTCTCTACATAGCTATGTTGACAGCCTTTGCTCAAAAGAACATTGGAATGTTCATGGCTTTGACCATTACTCTAGTTGTATTGAGAATGATAAACATTCATCTCTCTTTCATGCCATGATTATATGGTATAAAGATTTAGAGTGATATATCAAATAGTGCAAAATTTTGCAAATAGAAGTTCCTAGCCTCCATAAATTTTTAAGTTTTCTTATTTCAAGTGAGTTCTCTGACACCTAAATCCACTCAAAATACTTTTGAGGAGTATTAGATTTCCGCTTTAAAAAAATAATAATAATGACATAATTAAAATTATCCATGATTAGTAAAAAGTATTGAGCATTGTTTAGCAATTTTACCTGTAACAATTCCCAGATATTGACATGAATCAAATCTAAATCAGGTTTACCTCAACTGGAAGCTTTCTTGGGCAGCAGTTTCTTCTTGCCTATTAACAACTTTTGCATGCTTTAGAGTTTGTCCCACTTGCCAACTTAGGAGTCTCCTTATAATTGTAGAATTGAGTTATAAGTACTTTGAGAATTGAAATGCCATTTTTAACTCACTTGAGCAATCTATGCATGATGAAGGATGAAGTCTATAACTGTATAATGAGAAAACATATAGATTCCTTTCTCTACCAGTTTAGAAATTGATAGAAGATGCTTAGGTAACTTTGGAACATATAAAACATTAGAAACTTCAAGTTGAAAGCAAGGATAAAAAATTGTTCTAAATCAAAGCTTTACTATTTATTGTACAGAAAGCATTTTAAAACTTATCTTTTAGAAGAGTGTTTTATTTTACGTCATGTGCAGCAGAAGCCAGTTCGATTTTGAGATTTGCCCATCTCAACTTGCAGAAACATAGAATAAGTTTTGAGAAAAAAAAATACCATTGAAATTGATATCTTCCTTAGTTGTTGAAAGATTCACTAATGATCCATTCACTTACAATCCTTTTGCTTTGAACAGTCAGCAGTAAAGTGTCAAATCCACAACATTAGTTGCAATGAACACTCTTGTACTTCAAATGTGCCTGATCCCCTGAATTCCATTTGCTCCCGGTTCTATCTATTGTTCACTCCCTTCCAATCATATGACTGATGAATGTTGGTGATGACTTGATCCAGCTCTGGATGAAGACAATTTGTTTGAAGCTCAATCTTGGCCTTCTAGTACTTCTTGTTCAAATGAAGGATTGTGAGAGCTCCAGTTGCATCCAAGAACGTAAATTGCATATTCTGCAACTTATTATTATTATTTTATCAATGTAGTTTTGCACCTTTTCCTATCAACCTTGTCTATAATTCACCATCTGTCTAAACATACTCTTCTTAGTGGCCCACAATTATTAGTGCTCGGCAAGCCTTGGTGGCAGTTTGAGAATTCTTGATCTTAAGGGTGTCTTTTGATCAAACTCGCTCTATCAACATCACTCTTGTGCTTCCTTTGGTAAGCTTGATGCTGCTCAGCCACTTATTCTGGAGGAAGAAAAACTACTTTTCATAATTTAGAACATCTCCTACTGCTTATAAACAACAGAGAAACAATTACTGACCGCCCAAACTCATGATCACTTCATGCCAGAAAAAACCTAAAAAGTTTTTCCAAGCCCCATTTCACAAAATAAATTTCGACAAAAGATGCCCCTGTTTCCTTGTCACCTTGATTCCTGCTGCTCCAACAAGCCAGCCTTCTCGTTCTCCAAGCAGTGCACGAGCAACAATCTGATCTACAGCAATACCAATTGATGATACTACTGTCCTGTCGGTCAACCCCTCTTCATGCACGTAGTAACATAGAACCCTAGAATCCACGCTAGTGTATGGATCCCAATGTCGTCTATTGTACTTTCGGCGGAGCTCTAATGCCTAGTCCCCAGGCTGTGGAAGCGCAGGAGCATGTGAGCGCGGTATGGGTAAGACCAGGTTCCACGCTGGGTGAGATGGTAGAGAAAATCAAGCAGCACTCGCCTTTTCCGGAAGGCACCAGATTCTCGTATGTGGATGAGGGTTACTGGTGTCAAATCCACGGCGAGACGGTGGAGTTGATAGTGCAAGAGGGCGTCAAGTACTATGTGAGAGTTGTGGTGCCCAGTCGCCAGAGAAACACTGCTCCCGTTTCATCATCAGCAAAGATCTTGTCCTTGGATTGCCTGCACGACAGCTTCCATTGGCTGAAACATGAGCTGCAGCTGAGCCACATATCGGATGGTGCCTTTGAGAAGTTCATGCACAAGTCTTGCACTAGAGACTTATGCAAGCAGATGATGTCAGCTCTGATCCAGATGCAGGCGGCGTCAAGCCATGCCGACAACCAGCTCGGGTCACAGCTATCGTTCCTGTGTCGCTTTGGCATTGCTTTGTCTTACGAGGGTGCACAGAAACGAGACGAGGGCGTTTGTCCCGGCGTGATCTTGAGGAAGGGCACGTTTGTCTCGGTTTTGACCAGGGATTTGCGGTCGACACCTCTTCGACTGGATGAACAAGAGCATCACTCTTTGAAGGTTGGTGTATACATTTGTCTCATCGATTGGTTCTAACTGGCTCGATGAAGCAGGAGCTAGGCTTCTTGTTTTGGGTGGCCAAGGTTCTGAACATCAAGGCTGATGTCGACTTGCCGCAGCTGATATCTTTGTCCACAGACAAAGAACAAGCAGCGTACAACGTGTGGCTGGTTTCTCGAGTCGCTCAAAGTGCCTCGAATGCAGTGTTGAAGGTAGTCGACGACTATCGGGAGATGGTGATGAAAGTTGGACACAGTGACGAGACCAAGAATCAAATCAGGCAGCTCTGTGTTGACGCCGACTTCTGGCATCAAGTCGAAAACGAGGCACAGTTCCTTAAACAGCTAGATGGCTGCCCTCTGTTCCCGTCGCTCGTTTTCACCGGTTACTGGGAAGACAGGCCCGTGCTTCTTTCAAGTTTAGAAGGTAGACCGCTACTAACAATCCATAATTACCGTCCGCTACGAGGCTCGACAGTGGATCGGCTGTGCAAAGACCTCACGGAAGCTGTTCTCGTCCTACATGTAAGTACAAGAAGTTGTTTTGTGTCTTCTTTTTCATACTTACTTTCTTAGCAGAGCCGTGGTATTCTTCATTGTGACATAAGTACCAGGAATGTGGGGGTGTACAATGAGCCTCGGCAAGATGGCCGCTGCTTCTACCTCTACGATTTCGGGGCTGCGGTTCACGTCGGCCCCGATGTTCGAAAGGCAGGAGCAGCGAGGGACTTGGTGTTCAGCGCCTTGAACAGTATGGTAGGAGAGGCCCAAGGACTGATGACTGAGCTCACTTCAGTTGCTTACGTTTGCCTGTACATGGCAAGCACGGAAGCTTTGCCTTGGGAAGCAGCTGCAGCACAAGGAGAGTACGCAACTTGCTGTCTGATGCGCACTCCCGACCGGGTCACCATTCCTGAATCCCTTGGCGAGTGCACAAGGGAGTGGCTGTCCTTCGTGATTAATTATCCGGATGATGCTGCTGTGCGCCATGACTTTGAGTGGGTCCGTGGAATCGCTGCAAACTTGCTCAATAATGTTGATATAAACTAAAATATCTGTGCTAGGTAAAGTTTGATTAAACAATATAATGAGTCACTTTTCTATAAAAGTGCAATGGCCACTTTTCTACTCTTAACTCTAGACTCACGCTTGTGAGGGTTTAGAATAGTTTTACCATCGTTTTACCATGTGATTTAACATGGACTGAGGAAGCCCAAGATGTCACAAGCTTGGGGCAGAGTTTCTTTTCTTCTTTACACGCCATTCTAAACAATGTTTCAGATTGGGAAAGCTCTCCATGATTTTTCTAAACTTGCCAGATTAAGTTTACACAGAAAAAAAGAAAAAAAGCATGTCGCAGAAGAGTTCAGTTGTCACACGGTTGATCCATCAACTTGTCAGTCAGCTTGAGGTTGCAAGAAGTGGAATGCGGGATTCTCCCGCAACATGGGAGGGAAATCCATGTCGGACAAGTCCACCTCCCGCATCGATTGAGAAATATCGTCCACGGAGAAAGGAATACTAGCACCAAGGAAACAACCAAAGCTGAGGAGTTCTACTAGTATGCAGCCTCTTTCTTACCTTGAATCGTCGTCTAGAAGAAATGAATTGCTCCTCACTGAGTGATGGGAGTCTTCGGTCATTAGCGCTCGCATATTTGCAATCACCTGTGGAAACATTGTGAGTGGAAGCATCGTTCCTTTTTCTTTGTGTTACCTCTGGTGATACACTGTGTGTTCCATACTTATCGTCCCAATACATAGTACTAATACGATACAATTGTTGCACGCTCAGAACCTGTACGAGAAAAGAGAGCACGGATGACAAAAGGAAAAGAACGCAAAAAAACTTGGGCTTGCTTACCGGGCAAAGGTCGTGCATAATTTCATCGAGTGATTTCTTTGGCTTTTGGTGGATCACCTGTGCAGAGAAAGGAAACGAGTAAAAAAGGAAAGCAGGGGAAAAGCTTACCAAAAAACCAACTGCTTGTCGAATGTACTTGAGCTCGTCCCAGGATGAACCTGCGAACTATTTTCTTCCCCCATTTCAGTTTAGAAGCGTCAGCTTTGAAATACATTTACCTCCTCAGAAGCGCCACAGATCCATTGTTCCAACTCGGCCAGGCCAGCTTTCACATACTCGCCATTGCTAAAAGAGCAGCACTCCCGTCGCAAAAGAAGACTGCGAAAATAAAGAACGTTTTACTTGGAAAGCCGGTACAGTGAATTGTACACACCTGTTGAAAAGCTGAACATTGATGAAGGAAAATATTTGCTTGAAAAGCTTGCGAGTCAAGAACGAAGGCACCTGAAAAGAGAATCTACCAAGTAAAACAACAAGACTCCACAACACAAACTTACATAGTTCCCTTTCAAAGTATTTAAGAGATTCGTGAGGCTGTTGATAATGCCATGCCAGTGGCTCAATGGTTGTAGTCCGGTGATGCTGGAGTTCGGTGAGAACCGTCCTGCTTTCCCAAAGCTTGTCCTTGACCTTGGAGCCTGCCAAGCTAAACATGTTAAAAAGCGATATCCAGAACTACAACTCACCTGGATGCATAATCCAAGCAACGGCGTCACTTCTTTCTTGAGGTTGTCACGCAGAATTCCATATATTTTCTCGACATATGCAGTGAGTTGCTGCTTGAAAAGGAGAGCCGGATATTTGGCTTCAACTTGCCTTGCCGCTTCTAATCCTCCGTGATATGTACCATTCCCATGAGGTGCCATACCACTGGATGGTGATCTGAAACCCTGATCAAAACAAGTCGATTTATCAAAACATTTTTGCTTAACAGATAGCACCTGTGTCATTCTGCCAAACAAGGTGACTGATGATCGACGGCGTTGTGAACCCATGATATTTCCTGCAACGCTGGCCCTGAGTGTGCGTTGTAGCAAAAACAGGAGCATTGCCGTATTTGAGAGCCAGTAGGCTAATATGTCGTTGTTTTCCTGGGCCTGCATGATCAGCGTCAGTGAAAAGCATTCGAAATGTTTGACTGAACATACTTCAATGGCAGATCCAACTGTTTGAATTATCCGATCAAACACGCTGGTTCGTTCTGCTTCAAACGATCGCCAATGAAGAAGGCATCTGTAGATTATGAATGCTGCTACAGGCCTGTCCTGGCTAAACCCAACGTCCTGCATCACGACTTGGAGAAGCGCCTCTTGGTTCTCCTGTATGCACAACAAGAGATTAGCAAGTACGTATCGAAGTCAGCTACCAACCTGTTGCCGATCAATAAGCTGTTTTTGCCTTTTGTGATCCATCTGTGAATCCGGGGAAATAGAATCCTGGCCAGCTGAGGTGTTAAAAAGAAAAAGCTGCGATTCATACTATCATACCGATGGGCTTCGATAATCACCATTGGAAAGGTGGTAACTGTCTGGAATTCTCTGGAAAAAAGAAAACTATCGTCGGACACAAACTTGTAACCAACTCACTTGGAAAATGGGAGTCTTTAAGTTATTTGTTGGGGATATAGCGAGCGCTTGCTGCCGAAGCACTTGATTCTCGGACTCCAAATTTGATAGTCTCTCTTCAGACCTGTAAAAGAGTCAGTATCAAGCGGCTGGCATTATGTTTGTACCTCTGCAAGGACTCTTGCAAGTGCTCAATCTTTAACTCAAGCTTTCGCATGATTTCCTGGTTCTGTTTCTTGCTGGTTGAAAGAAGATGTTCAGTCTCATTTGCTCGCGTTTGAAAAGCGTTAACCATCGCCTAAGAGCCAAAACATCATATCCCTGTAAAATACAAATGAACTACCTCACCTGAAGACGTGTATTTTCAGCCAAAAGTTGCTGAAGCCTGCTCTCATGACTAGCTTGCACAGTGAGTGACTGCTTAGCAGCGCTAACAGCACCTTCAATCGCCTTCCTGTGCTGCGCTCGTTCAGTTACAAGCGATGTGTTTGCAGTTTCAGCTTGCTTTTGAAGGTCTTGTACAAGAGCCTGTACTTTTGCAATCTCAATCTCTTTCGACTCCTCCACATCAACCTGCAAAATAGGTATATATCAGCCGAGTAAAACCAGCTGCAATAAAAAACAAATACCCGCATCCGCTTTTCTAATTGAAGACGCCATGTCAGATCTTCGCATCGTTTTTCAAGCTTCGTTTTGGCCGCTTGCAAAGCTCCAGTTTCCCTCGCAGCCTTACATGAACACAACATCAAATACCATAAGTATAACAAGTGAACTTACGATTCTCAGCCTTTTAAGCTCCCTTCTTGCCATACGACCTTTCCACTGGGACTGAATAGCCGTTGCTGCCTTTCGTAATTGTACATAGTCGCGACGATTTCTAAATGCTCGCCAGTGTGACTGAAACTCAAATGTTAAAGAGGAAAACCAAATTATCCCGACCTGTATAAGCGTTGCGGCATTGGTTTTCCTGTGTGATCTGTAGCGCCTCCGGGCAGACATACCGCGAAAACCAGATTGAATACGAACAGCAGAATTCCTTGCTTGCTTGAATTCCTTCCGAGACTGTAAGCCACGAACATACTTCTGCAGACATACTGCAGCGGACTCTCGTCGCAGTGATTCGTATTTTTTGCGTGCGAGCCTGCCTAAAAAATAAGCGTCGGACCAGCACGAACATCTTATAGAAACAGCAGGTACCTCGCCAGTACGCTTGTATACAAGTTGTAGCATTCCGCATTTTTGAAAAGTTTTTCCGCGCACAGTAAGTGCGAAATTTGCGCTGGATGAGTTTTGCAGCGCTGTTAAGGATTTCTGTTCTTCTAGCATCAAGCTCTGCCATTTGACCAGCTCTTAGAAAAACTTTTGTTTTCCCAATCTGTGGAGAACAAAATGCCAAATGAGTTTTTGAAGTGAGTATTTATTACCTGGTAGCTATCAAGGTTCAGCTTCTGAAGTAGTTTTTCGGTTGCTTTTCTCTCGTCATACCTTAAAGAAAAAAAAACACTAGTAAGATTTTGTCAAATTTCCAAATTTATTACCGTCCATCAAGGAACTCGGGAGCAAGGAAACCAAAACGATCAAGGAACTGGTCAAAGGGCCGCCTGGTTGGATATCCAGCACAGCTAATTCGAACAGCTTCAAGCACACCCTGCACCAAGACGCACTCGTTATTACAGTATCAGGACGCGAGGATATGCATACCCCACAGCGCAGTTGTTGAAGAACGTTTGATTTTTCAAACATTCCCGGCTTGTTGAGAGAGTTGGGTTTAACACACCGAATGTAATGCGGTTGCGTGGTGCTCAATGTTTCCATAAGTTGTTGCAGTTGGTGCTATAGTGTCATGGTTAATCATCGGAAATTTAAAATTTCTCAGTCACCTTGAAACCAGTACCAATAGAAGAAAATTTGTACGAGGACTTCAGAAATTCTTCTGACGGGATTGGGAAAAGCCCAGAGACAAAGCCGCAAGTAGAGGATCCAAGAATGGCTTGATGCTCTGCAACAACATAGTCTTTATTTTTATCCAGAAAATACTCCGTTTGGTAAGTGACCTGGTAAATAAATGTGTAAGACTTGTACAATAACAATAACAAATTACCTCTCCAGCATAATGAGCGATGGTAAAATCTGTTCGGGCCCGCTTTGGTTGACTGAATCTGACATGGTGTTTGAATGCCTGGAACAACTTGGTCGCAAAAGTTTCGTGCGTGGACTTCGGGAACATGCAAGCCTCGTCAAGAAGGGCGATGATACCCAACGGCTTCTGCCAGGATAAGTGTTTCAACTCAGACAATATGCAAAATAAAACAACAAACCTTTTCGATAAGATCTAAAACGTCCTGATTGTCAATAAACTCAATGTAGCTCCAGTCGATAGCTTCTTTTGTATACTCGTCTTGTTCCATCTTGAATACGTGCTGCAGAGCTATATGTTAGAATAGAGAACATACAGAACAACGGGTTACCTGGTTGAAGTGTTGCTGAAGCTTTTCATTGGCAAAGTTTATACAAAACTGTTCAAAGCTATTTACAACAACAATCACCTTTCAAACTCATACTTAAGGCCAGAAAAATACCTGTTGCTTCTAAAAGTCTCAAATCCATAAATATCAAGCACTCCGATAACAGTCTCGGATTCGGGATCTTGTCCAATGGATTTGTTGATTTTTTCGACCAGCCTGATTTACATAAAGAATGGTGAGAGAAAACAGAAAAGAAACAAGAGGTATCTTCGTACCAGTCAAAAAGACGAGAATAAAGTGTTTTTGCCAGCGTATCGCGATTAACAGTTGCAGCTGCAGGATCAAGAGCTACGGTAATTATTTCATCCCGCGTGACAATCGCCCGAAAGCAGAGAGCATCTTGAAGACCTTTGGGATCACACCTAAAGACTCAACCACGTTCAAGACACAAAAATTAACAAACAAATACCTACTTGAGTAACTCTGCCGCTGTCTCTAAATGAAATCTGGACTTCGAATTTTCTAGAACGGAGCAATCAGAATCTTTTCCAGAAACAAAATCAATATTTCCCAAGTGCAGAATCGCCGCTACCACCCGAAATATAGCTTCCTGTAAGAAACGAAACATAGACACGTCGATATTGGTCGACAAAAATATTTCGCACCTGCTCTTCGGGGCTTATGCCAACGATATCCATCGCCCTTCTCGTGTTTGCGTACTCTCTGCTGTTGCTTATGCCCGTTAACTCGAAACATTTGCTTTGATTTAGATAGTGAAACTGTTGTGGATCACCGAGCTTGTATCTTTCAGCATCCTGCACAGATCAAACGTTAAAGGAGGCGAGGCGTACACGATAGAACACACCTCTGGGGATGCGCACAGCTGGTAAAAGCAATGGTAATTACGCTCGGGATCTGATATTTGCACGACGCGGGACCTTTCGAGCAAATACGTCCTTATAGCTGCGCCAGAAATTCTTCCACTTTGATCGAATTGAATATCAACAAACTTTCCAAAACGACTGCAAAAACATACCATCTTAACACCGGCTGTGTATTCAATAATAAAGAAAAGAAAACCTTGAATTATCATTTCTGACAGTTTTTGCATTGCCGAATGCTTCTAAAAGGGGATTCGACTGCACAAAACATACCACATGTCAGTCTCATTTTAAGTACTTCCAACGTAGTCCTTTACCTCTAGTACTTGTTGTTCCACAGTTCGTGCGTCAGATGTAGAACGACCTCCCATGTATGCAAGGTATTGCATAGTCAGTTTAGTCGTTTCAGTCTTCCCCGCTCCAGACTCTCCACTTACCAGAATAGACTGGCAAATTTTTTCATTGACCATTGTTCTAAAATGGAACAAATGAGTCCATTAAACCCAGGAAGACAAAGAAACAAGAGGTACCTATAAGCGGAGTCGGCGACAGCAAATACATGAGGGCTGAGCTCCCCAAGCGGAGCACCTCTATACTGCTCCATCATATGGGCATTATAGAGGTGTGGCAGCCTCGCAAAAGGATTCACAGCTATCAGGATGCTCCCGGTGTAAGTCTGACCAAAACATGAATAAGTACGAGGAATCCAATCAGTGATCCAGGCTTACGTAGATTTCGTCCAACGCATATCTGCTACAAAGGTTGTATAAAACTCCAGGCTCATGCAGATATGACAGCTTCGTCATATCATCGACTCCTCCGGGTTGTGCATCGGTGTCCCTGGAATGTAGCTTGGACACCACTGTCGTAAACTACGAGTGAAAAAACCAATGTTAAGAGACTAGCTAGGAAGCGGAGAAGTTTTAGTAGTACTCACAGTTTTCCCCTTCTTCGTACAAACCGTGACATTGTTTCCAGAAATTTTGACAACCTCAGCTTCGATCCAGGCGAGCTGAGGATCCTCAGCCCACACAGGAGAGCCAACGGTAAGATTGCCAACGGTAGCCTGCGCCATTGGTGGAAATCTCATCAGAGAGCGAGAGAGAAAGAGAAAATCACTGCTGAGGCATCCGATGAGATTTTCCCTGCGAAATTCCCACTATAGACCCCTATCGCTGCGGCACGATCCCAGGACGATTACCACAGGCATCGAGAATGCAAGCTAGAAACGATCGCTGCGCGCGAAGGGGGAAGCGCTTACCATTCTCAAATCATGTCGATCGATCGCGCAAGGCGCTTCTTCATCCCCCTCCCCCTGAAAATCAAAAACCCTATCCCTAGAAAAAAATTGTGCCGACGTGGCGTGATTTGTGGAGCATGTCATAGTAGCCTTGCACTTTATTTCAGATCCTGGCCGGGCACGTGGCAGAAATCTTGGCCGTTGAGATGGCTTTCCCGCCATACCCTTCAACTTGAAATTTCTGGCCAGTAAAAGCTTTGAAAGTCAAGCTGATTAGCGATGTGGACGCGAGCATTAATTAAACTTAAACTGATACGCAACTTCACTCTTGACAAAGCCATTAGAATATTTGCATTAGAACATCAACACAATTTTTTTCAAGATGGTACCTTTACTTGAGGAAAGTGCATGACATCCAGAGAACTATGTATGATATCAGCGAAGTTGCCAGTTCTATGTTCCAAGAGCCGGGAAATGGAATCAAAGGAACAAGGAAAGAGCCAAACACCCAGGCGAATAGAAATGCTGCAACTCTGGAAGAAAAAACAAAGAGTAAGCTTCCAAGCTTCGGATCCAAAAGATTTAGAAAGCAAAGTTCTTACCCGATTAACGAAGCTTTCCACAAAACTTTGAATCTCTTCTTCAAGAAATAGATACAAGCACCGAGACTAAGTATCACCTGTCAAAAACAATAGCGTAAACTTAGTCTGCGATGCTCGAAACGAAGAAAGAAACAAAAGCGTGAAAATCTCTTTACCTGGAAGCTTGGACCTGTGGCTGCCGCCTCCAAAACGCTCCAGACTCCCAAAACGAAGAAAGCAAACGCTCTTGCGGCTATGACGACCGTGGGTGGCGTATCAAACCGGTCCGTCAGCTTCTGGAGCCACACTGGAGGAGGTTTGAGGACTTTGGGCTTTCTCCGGTACCTCTTCAAGCTCTCCGAGATGACTTTGTCGTAGGCCGACTCGATCGAGGCCTTGCTCTTGGGATGAGCGCCGTAAAGCTTGAGCAAGTAGTTTCGAGCTGCTCGGACCTCCTCCTCGGATGCCTCGTTGCTGATTCCCAGCCGCTTGTACGGGTCTCTCACGTCAACTCTGGGGAAAATCGGTGTAGAGCCTGGAGTAAATCAGTTCCGTAGCGAAGAACACGGGAAAAATTCTCAAAAAGTCACGCGAACTCAAGCAGCATAACGAAAAAGAAAAATATTTATAACTTAAAAGTGCAAGGAAAAGAAATCGAGCAAGAAGACATGACCAGGATTTGCAGGATTACCTGAGGTTTCTCCAGCACCGAACATTGCACAGCAAATTGTTCTTCGAAAGTTTTCACTCCGCTTATAGAACACATCCCTGCAAGACTCCAATCAGCATGTTTTCTGAATCAAAGCGGCCCACCTTTTCGTAGAAGACCCATGTAGCAAAAAAACTCTGTGCTGCTGAGACGCGACCGGCGGCGGCACCCACACAGCAGCCGCCATGGGTAGAAAAAACTCAAGAGCACGAATCGGTCAGGCGCATATTCCGACAATTTTAACCTGGAAGCTTAGGATATTCCGCTAGGAAAAACCTCTTCTCCTCTACTTGATCTTGAAAGTGGTGACCCGGATTATATCGTCGTCGGTCTCGAGCTTCCTTTGGAGTTCTTTCACGCTGCCTGGTTTCGTTGCGAAGGTAAACATGTAGAAGATGCCATCGACGTACGTGTTCTTCTCGCCCCGGGTGTTCTTCTTGAGGATCCCGTAAGCTAGCGGCATGATTCCCCTGTTGAAGATCTCCACGTCCATTCCACCACCAGCGATGATCATCTGTGTGACAATGCGTAATGAGAAGAAACGAGTAGAAAAATTCGCAAGAGAACAAGCATCAAGAGAAGCTAGAACGTTGAGAGAAAGGTAAGAAAATCTCACAGAACAAGTAACAAACGTGAGTGAAAGCCATTCGTGATCATTCAAGCAAGCAAGAGAGGCAAAAGCTCGAAAGGAATTCAAGAAAAAAGTATCGATACTGGAAGAACTAGAACCCAAAGAAAATAATTTTTTTTGGCTTACCTCTTCGTATCGTTGCGAGAGTGCCAATCTTTGCTCCTCGGTGATGTCCGGCCGAAGAACAGCCATGGTCTCGTAGCGAGTGAAGCCTTTGGGATACACAACTCGGGGTTTCACCGCCTCTGCCTCGTCGCCTTTGTCACCGGATTCGCCATCGTTCTTCCCGGAATCCGGCGATTCGCTTGGCGCTTCCGTTACCTCAGCCGCGGATTCACCCGCCGTGGCCACGGACGATTCATCCTCCGCCATGGCCAAAAGCCTAGAGCTCAATCGCGGCTGGATTCCTCGCCCAGAAGACCTGCATTTCTGGATTTCCAGGCTCAAACCTTTGCATCGGATCGAGCAGCCGCGCTGCGCCGATGCCGGAGCTGGAGCTGGGGCGGCACTGCCGATGGAGATCGTGGAGCGCCCGAGCGAAGTCGCGAAGGCCATAGCCATCGATAGAACCCTAAAATCCCTCCTCTTTAAGCGCGGGAAATTACAGATAGCGCTTAGGGTATAGTCACAGCGCCAAGAAATGGAGGAGGAGCTGCGACGAGCTGGAGGAGCCGATCATCGTCATCAAGTGGCCTATTTTCAGCGCTTCCTCGCTGCGCCTAGCAAGAAATCTTTGCTGTGAATGCTACTGCTATGTCGATTGGGGCAAAGAGCGACACAGCTACAAGCACGAAGAGCGAGGATCTGAGGAAGAGCAGCAAGAATGGTGCGAAGAAAATCAAGAGGAAGATCATAATGTGGGCTACCTGTCGCCGGCGGATTCTATGCCTCCCAGCTCCGGATGCTGTGTGTGGAGGTAGGAGTGGCCATCGGATTGTATGTGTTCCTCATCTTAGCGGTGGACGAGGAGCCAACTCTTCTTCTTCTTCGGAGGTATTCATCGCTTTCCAGACGAACGCTTGCTTCACTGTTTTTTTTTTCTTTCGTTGGCTAGACCAAGGAACAATGCGAGTTTTCTTCCTGGCTCAAGCGTCGCGGGGAGCACGATCCTAACACTGGCCTCAGCATTGGATTGTCACCGCATGGAAGGTGAGCGTTCTATGTTCTCTCCAGGATTGTTTTGACAGCTCTTTTGTTCTTCCAGAGGATTGTTTGCCTCTCGCCCCATACATACTGGAGAATGCATGTTACATGTTTCACATGATCTGGTAAGCTTTGAGACTTGCATTGCGAGATCACCATCGATGCTTTTCTACGAAGTTAGATGATCACCCCGGAAAAACTTCCGGAAGAAGTAACGAAGCTACTGTCGAAGGACGTGAGTGCATGGGCAAAGCTAGCGCTTTTCTTGCTTGCTCACCAGAAGAAAAAAGAGGTATCTACGTTTAAGAACCTTTCCTTTTCTTTCTTTTCTCAGAACGCGTAAGCGTTTGCTTTCAGACGTCCGCATGGGCTCCTTATATAAGTTGCTTACCTCCTTTCGGTAGCATGCATAGCACTGTAAGTGACCTTTTGGGCTTTTCTTTCTCTCTCTTTAACAACCTGTCGATTTGGCCAGATTTTCTGGACACAAGACGAGCTGGTTTACTTAAAAGTGAGCCCTGTTTATCGCGAAACTGTACAGAGAAAGGACGTGGTGAGAATGGAATTTGCAGCAGCAGAAAATGTCTGGTTTTTCTTTTAACCAGTTTATATATTCAAGCTGAGCTCTTCCATTTGCAGGCACTTCTACTCTGCCCACACATTTTTGGTAGTCGAGTTTCCGCGCTGGAGTTCAAGCATGCTTATGCAACAGGTTAAACTTTTCGTTTGCTCACGTATCCTCATTGATTACATTACAGTTTGCTCTCGTGCTTGGGGGATCGAAACGATTAAATCACTTGCTTTGGTATGTTCTCTTCCATCTGTTGTGTGAAGTGCTGAAAATGGGGATAGGTTCCTTTTGTGGATTTCTTCAATCATGATGCCAATTGCCGCGCGATGCTTTCGTACGACGAGGACAGACATTGTGCAGAGGTATTTGTTCTCTTGTTAGGAAATCGACTCACAATAGAATGGAACTATAGGTTGTTTCAGATCGGGACTATGCTACTGGAGACCAAGTATGTACCAGTTTTTCTTGATCTGAACTACGACTAAAGTTTGTGATGGAAGGTGGTCATTAGCTATGGTCAGCTCTCGAATGCAACACTTGCTCTCGACTTTGGTTTTGCTCTTCCCTTCAATCCTCACGATCAGGTTGTGATTGTTTTACCAATATAACTCTCTGACTGCTATTTCGCCCGCTGTAGGCTGGAATCTGGTTGAGCCTTTCGGAAAAGGATCCGCTTCGCGACAGCAAACTTAAGCTTCTGCACTCGCACAACATGCAAACTTGCGTCACCAGAGAGGGTGTGGATACTGCTGGAAGTTCGTTTTCTCTTCAGTAAGCGCTTGCGTGTAGCTAGAAATATGTTGCAACAACTGTGTCATTTTCCACAGAGAGGTAAAGTCGAAAGCAGGCAGAGGGAAGGGTATTCCACAAACTTTACGTGCTTTTGCCCGTGTTGTATGTGCAACAACGTCGGAAGGTTTGTAAGACTTAAATATATTCCAAGAAGCTAACTGTGCTTTCCGACGCAGAGCTAGACGAAATGGCTAAGTTTGCTGCTGATACTGATGGTCGTCTTGCTCGCCGGCCATCAATTGATAAGACCAAGGAGCACAAAGCAATGACGCTGCTGCAAACAGTCATTGACAATAGGATACAAAAACACGAACAAGCAGCATTGGTACTTGTCTCACTTTTCCTTCTTATGGTGTTTACTCTAACTTTCTTCCAATCCATTCCAGGCAATCCGGGACTCTGCGGTCTTGCAAAAACCAAGAAAAGAGATCGCAAAGGCCATAGTAGGTGGTGAGCTTCGAGTTCTTCGTTCTGCCAGTGCTTGGTTAAAACAGCATTCCCAGGCACTATTACAAACTTAAAAAGTTTTCCATTTACGATTCTTCTCTCAAACGTCTTGTTTACAGTGACATAGGTGCCTTCTAAAACTCTCGGACAAGCCCTTGAGTACCGTGAGTCTGAAGAAAGACAACGGAAACGAGGAAGCTAAATCTACGTTTCTCAGGACAAAAGAGTGCCTCGTATCCTTAGTTATTTGGTGCTAACACTTCTACCTCCGGCTGGGAAGGTTTAGAGGAGCTCTGGGAAGAAGCCACCTTTCGAAAAACGAGCCTTTGCTGGAGAACGTCCTCCGAGGGAGCGACGAGCTCCGCGTCCACGAGTATGGTGTCGTCTTCCTTGTAGTCCCCGCGGAGGATTCCCTTCGCGATTGGATTCTCCACTTGGTGCTGGACGACTCTCTTCACGGGCCGAGCGCCAAAGCTCGGATCATAGCCCATCTTCCCGAGAAGGTCCACTGCCGATTCACTGATCGTCATGCTGATCTTCCGGTCTTTCAGTCTATGCTGTACTCTCGCAAGCTGGCAAAATCAACAAAGAACACGTTAAAAACTTCGCAAGAGGAGGTATGGAAAGTGATCGACTTTACCTGTAGCTTGACAATCTTGTTGATCTGTTCCCGGTCCAGCGGCTTAAACACGATGTACTCGTCGATCCGGTTGAGAAACTCTGGGCGAAAGTTTTGGCGTGCGACATCCATCACGCGATCCTTCATCCGCTCATACGACTCTCCGGCCTCGAGGCTGTTGAGGATGAACTGCGAGCCGATGTTGGAGGTCATGATAATGATGCTGTTCTTGAAGCTCACTTTGCGGCCCTGCGAGTCCGTCACCCTTCCATCGTCGAGAATCTGGAGGAAGATGTTAAACACGTCCGAGTGGGCCTTCTCGATCTCGTCGAACAGCACCACCGAGTAAGGCCGCCTCCTCACAGCCTCACTGAGCTGACCACCTTCTTCATACCCAACGTATCCCGGCGGAGCACCGATCAACCGAGACACAGTGTGCTTCTCCATGTACTCGCTCATGTCGATCCGGATGAGCGCCTCCTCGGTGTTGAAGAGATACGCCGCCAGCGCTTTCGCCAGCTCCGTCTTTCCAACTCCAGTCGGCCCCATGAACATGAAGCTCGCGATCGGCCGGTTTGGATCGGACAGCCCGGCTCGCGAGCGCTGGATAGCGTCGGCTACTGCCTGAACAGCCGGCTCCTGTCCAACTACGCGCTTGTGGAGCTCGTCATCGATGTGTAGCAGCTTCTCCATCTCGGACTGGAGGAGCTTCGAGACCGGGATGCCCGTCCACTTGCTGACGATCTCCGCGATATCGTCGGACGTTACCTCCTCTCGGAGCATGGAACTTCCTCGGCTTTGGTACTCGTCCAAGTTCTTCTCGGCCACTTCGAGCTGCCGCTGCAAGCTCATGAGGCTGCCATATTTCAGCTCCGCCGCGCGGTTCAAGTCGTAGTCCCGCTCGGCCTGCTGGATCTCAAGGTTCACTCTGTCCACCTCCTCTTTGATGGATTGGATTTTGAGCATGACTGATTTTTCGTGCTCCCACTGCTGCGTGACTTCTTTCTGTTTCTCTTTCAGCGCTTCGAGCTCGACGTTCAGCTTGTCCAGCCGATCCCGGGAGGCCTTGTCCGTGTCGTTCTTGAGCGACAGCCTCTCCATCTCCAGCTTCAAAACGGCGCGGTCGATCTCATCGAGATGAGTTGGTTTGGATGTTATTTCCATCTTGAGCTTCGCAGCTGCTTCGTCAACGAGGTCGATGGCTGCAGTGAAAAAAACAGAGAAAAAGTTGACCATGATATGAAAATCAAAGTGGACTGTTGATACCTTTGTCGGGCAGAAATCTGTCGCTGATGTATCTGTCAGAGAGCAACGCGGCGGCAACGAGCGCACTGTCAGAAATGCGCACGCCATGATGCAGCTCGTAGCGCTCGCGCAGTCCTCGAAGTATCGAGATAGTGTCCTCAACCGTGGGCTGGTCCACAAAGACTTGCTGAAAGCGACGCTCCAGCGCCGGATCTTTTTCAATATACTTTCTGTACTCGTCGAGAGTTGTGGCACCAATGCACCGCAGCTCTCCGCGACCGAGCATAGGCTTTAGAAGGTTCCCGGCATCCATTGCGCCGTTTGTAGCTCCTACGAATCATATCCTCCGGTTAGATGTGCTCACAAGCAATTTAAAATCTCTCAACGTACCTGCGCCAACAACTGTGTGGATCTCGTCGATGAAAAGGACGATCCTTCCATCCGACTCAGACACCTCCTTCAAGACCGCTTTCAACCGGTCTTCAAATTCACCGCGATACTTGGCGCCGGCTATCAACGCACCCATGTCAAGAGAAACAAGCTGCCAGTCAAAAGAAGATTTAGTATCTAGTTTATGCTGCATTAAGTCAAGAGCCGTACCTTTCGATCCATCAAAGCTTCGGGTACATCCCCTTGTACAATACGCTGAGCTAACCTGAAGTTGACGAGTTTGTTAGATACGCAACGAAAGATAAACAACACCTCCTACCCTTCAGCGATGGCTGTTTTGCCGACTCCAGGCTCACCAATAAAAACCGGATTGTTCTTCGTTCTCCTGCAGAGAATCTGGATGCAGCGCCGGATTTCGTCATCCCGTCCTATCACAGGGTCAAGCTTTCCTTGACGAGCCATTTCGGTCAAGTCCTTTCCGTACTTGTCCAAAGCCTCGTATTTTCCTTCCGGTGCTGAAAACCAGAACTTCACACGTTTAGTACAGAAATTTAGGAAACCATATGAGAAAGCATTACATTGATCAGTGACTTTCTGCGATCCCCGAATAGATTCAACTGCAGTTCTCAAGGCTTTAGCGGTAATCTGGTATTCTTTAAAGAGAACTTGCCCGAATCGTTTGTCTTGCAAATACCCCAAGAGCAAGTGCTCAATGGAGACGTAGGAGTCCCCCATGTCTTTCATGAAGCCTCTTGCCCGGTCGAGAAGTGCTTCCAGCTCTCGCCCAAGCATAGAACCTCCGGTCTCACCGACAATCTAAACCATAGCTCACGTAAGACTCACAAAACAATGCAGCTGAAAACCAGAAACACATACCTTTGGCTGCCGCTGAATGAACCTCTCCGTAGATTCGAGGAGCCCAGTGTTGTCGACACCAACTTTTCCAAAAACTCGCCTTGCCAAACCATTCTTCTGTTCTAGGAGAGCTTTCATCAGGTGCTCCGTCTCGACGATTTGCTGCTTGTTCTCCTTGGCAATTTCCGGGGACACGACAATCGCTTGCCATGCCATGTCCGTAAAGTCGGCCTGGCTAATCTGTGAGTGAAGAAACAAAAGAATGATAGAAACGTCGTAAGTTCTAAAGCACGAACGGAAGAGCTAGACTTACTCGTCCATCTTTCCCTGGTGATGCAGCACACCGGGTAACAACGCGAAAATTCCTTCCATGCTGCCTTGTCAAAAACCTCTTGGAGCTCAAATTCGTTGCTCGCAAGCCTTGGAAAGAGCTAAACCCGCGCTCCTCTCTCCGGTAGCATCGCACCACACTTCTAGTCGATCGAGAGAGCACTAAATTCGCCGCCGATTCTCGCTGCGCCGCATTGAAACACGACTGGACCAATCCCGAGGTGGAAGCAGCAGCCATAGAGCAGAGGAAATTCCCACCGATTGAGCTGGAGCTCGCGAATTCTCGCGATCACTGCCCGCGATATTTATGTGTAGCTCTCACCGCCAATCCCTGCCTCCCCACGAACCCTAGCCCAGCCCTAATATTACCGACATTGTGACACGTCGCGAATATTTGAGAACGCTCTAGACGATGATCATGGTCCACACATTTTCTCTAGAGCTCTGCCAGCGTGGCACTATTTGCTGACCTGGAAGATTGTGTGTCACGTGTCTGATAGCATCGGAGATAGCCGGAAAAGGTAAGAAAACGTTTTCGTTTTTCTTTGACCGGTTTGACTGGCAGCTCACCTAACCCGGCAGTTTAATTGTTCTTTTTTGACCGGCAGATCAAAACGTGTCCAGTGGCCGTCACGGCTGAGGGGTCGACCGGCACGACTGATGTCAGTGACGGTGAGGGATGAGGGGCAAAAGAGAGAAGTGCGCCTCACGTAAGCAAACAACACCTTTGGGTTAGTTTTTATAGGCCGAGAATCCCAGCCCAGGCCGCCCAGGGCTCGCCTTGCGCTGGATCGATCTAGGATTTGATCGATCTCTCCAAGGAATTCCTCGGTTCCGCAGCTAAATCTCGTCGCGGCTCACACATTTTGGCGGAGGAATCGCATCGCGACGGCGTTTATAAGAAATGCTTCCGTGATTGCCCAGGAACTAGGTAGCGCGTCCACGCAGGTAGGCACGATATTTCGGCCATTCCACTCGCATTCCGGGCATGATCGCTCTAGCATTGATTCGATTGGAATCGATTGCGCCATAAATGGTGTCCTAAAACTTTCGATTTCCTCGCAGACTTTCCACTCGCCCTCTCTAGGCTAATCGATCGCCTCCATGACGATTGAGAGCGTAAAGGATGCTGTCAAGGACACTGTCTGTGTGACCGGCGCCAATGGATTTGTGGCTTCTTGGCTCGTCAAGCTCCTCCTGGAAAGAGGATACACAGTCCATGGAACGGTGAGAAATCCCGGTACGCGAGTAAATTCTTCTCGACTTCCATGTCTCTTCTACCTTTTATCTCTTACCATGGATCTTTCTCTATTTTTTTTCCTTTATCCAGATGATGAGAGGAACGATCACTTAAAAGCTTTCGATGGCGCAAAAGAGAGGCTCAGCCTGTGGAAAGCGGACATACTTGACTATGAAAGTATCTCGGCTGCTACAAAGGGTTGTCAAGGAATTTTCCACACGGCCTGTCCGGTCACTGATGATCTTGGGATTGTCCAGGTATGTAGCAAGTAGATCTTTGGCATTTTCCGATCATAGCTTAGTATAAAAAACGACAATGATAGGACATCCACCTCCATCTCTGACATTATTTGCCTTTGGTGGAATGCATTATGTAGGAACCAGCTGTTCGTGGCACTTTAAACATACTCAAGGCCGCAG